GCAAAAATATATTAGGTGTATGTAATGATTGTTAGCTATACATGTCTTTCTGGCTTGGTTTATCTGACCTTGACTTCATTTTCATGGATCATTAATAATGTTAGGTTTGTACTAAAACTTTATCCTTAGGACTATCAACACAAAATAATTCATGAATAGTAAAACAGGCGAGACATTTCAGCGTGTGCATTCTTGTTGCAGCTGAGACATTTTTGGTTGGAGTTTACAGGTTGAGAACATAGAAATGTGAACAAGAAGAAAGAAATATAGAATGGTAGTATGAACACATGCTCACTACCAAAAAGAAGACATATCTATTTTCTAAATTTATATATTATGAAAGGGAGAAGGTATAGTAGATTAGCATTAACATTATCTAAAATATGCTCAGTTACTGTTATTTCATGTCAAAGCTCGATTCGTGTTAATTTCACATGAATTTTTTTACTTTTAGTAGTGACGTTAAAGATGAAGAAACCGAATTAGACTATAAAATTGAGAATGGAAATGGGGAATGTGTCAAAGAGACAACAACCCGACCATAGAACAGACAACAGCAGAAGGTCACCAACAAGTCTTCAATGCAGCGAGAAATTCCCGCACCCGGAGGCGTCCTTCAGCTGGCCCCTAAACAAATATATATACTAGTTCAGTGATAATGAACGCCATACTAAACTCCAAATTGTACACAAGAAACTAAAATTAAAAATAATACAAGACTAACCAAGGCTAGAGGCTCCTGACTTGGGACAGGCGCAAAAATGCGGCGGGGTTAAACATGTTTATGAGATCTCAACCCTCCCCCTATACCTCTAGCCAATGTAGAAAAGTAAACGCATAACAATACGCACATTAAAATTCAGTTCAAGAGAAGTCCGAGTCTGATGTCAGAAGATGTAACCAAAGAAAATAAACAAAATGACAATAATACATAAATAACAACAGACTACTAGCAGTTAACTGACATGCCAGCTCCAGACTTCAATTAAACTGATTGAAAGATTATGTCTTCATCATATGAATATCAGGCACAATCCTTCCCGTTAGGGGTTTAGTATCATACCATCATAACATATATGAGAAGAACATAACCCGTGTCATGCCAACAACTGGTTTTTAAATAATTGTGTTTAGTGCCGATGCAAAGACCCTATAAGTGAATCAATATTAACGCCAAAATATGCAATCTTTAATGACCTGACAACAGTATCGTAACTATATCCCTTCTTAAAAAGTCTATTTAAAGGTTTTGTTAGCTTCAGAGGTGAATACTGACATTTTTGTGCTTTATAAAGAATATTTCCATAAAAAAATGGATGTGAAATACCTGAACGTATAAGAAGTCTGCATGTTGAGCTATATTTTACGAATGATGTCCTTATACCGATGATAAAATTTAGTAAATGTTTTGACTAGTTTGTGATATCGAAAACCCTGGTGTAATAATTTTTCAGTAATACATAAATTTCTCTCGTTAAAATCTAAAACATTGTAACATACACGAGCGAATCGTACAAGTTGAGATATATAAACACCGTAAGATGGTGACAAGGGAACGTCACCATCTAAAAATGGATAATTAACGATAGGAAATGAAAAATCATCTCTTTTATCATATATTTTAGTATTAAGCTTTCCATTAATGATATAGATATCAAGATCGAGGAAAGGGCAGTGGTCATTGTTAGTATTAGCTTTATTTAAAGTAAGTTCAACAGGATAAATTTCTTTAGTATACATACTGAAGTCGTCATTATTGAGAGCCAAAATATCATCCAAATATCTAAAAGTATTATTAAATTTGTGTATCAGATGTTGTTTCGATGGGTCTTTGCTGATTTTTGTCATAAATTGTAAGTCAGAGCAATACAAAAAAAGGTCCGCAATAAGTGGTGCACAGTTAGTCCCCATTGGAATTCCGATAACCTGACGATATACGGAATCTCCAAAGCGAACAAAAATGTTATCTAGTAAAAATTCAAGGGCATATATAGTATCAAAGCATGTCCAATTGACATAGTTTTTTTGTTTATTGCTACTAAAAAATGACCTAAGAGAGTTTGAACATATATATTCACATTCTGACTTTTTAAATGCCCATTTAATTAGGTGTGTGAATTTTTTCTTAATGAGAATGTGAGGCAATGTGGTATATAGGGTAGAAAAATCAAAACTTTGAACAGATTCAAAATCACCAATATATAGTAATAGACTTAAATATCCTGGGTAGAAGGGTTACTGTTTCATGGGCATTTAACTAATATTTCCTTTTATTCAAATTATGTATTTTAACTGGATTCTGCCTTACTACCCTAAAAATTAGTTCAGCTTTTCAGTCAAATATTTATGCAATATTAAAACCACACAAAGAACAAAAAGAAGCACACCAAAGTCCAGGTTAAAATTGATCGTAAGTTATACTGAAATGTGTATGACTTACGAGTATTTTTACTCTTAAGATTTTTTGTGAAAAGAGCCGCAGGTTCTAATTTCCTGCCGTTGAATAACAAATATCAATGTTAGTATTGATGGTTTCTTGTTTAAACCGATAGCGAGCTATCTGAAATGCAAAGTAATCTAAAGCATTTTACTTGAATTTTTTATTCAAAGAAGTTAAAACTCCCAAATTGGTGTATTAGAATTTTAAAAAAAGATGTGGTTATAATTGCCAATGAAACAACTATCCACAAAAGTTCAAATAAGTGGATGTAAGTAATCATAGGCAACTGTACGGCCTTCAACAATGAGAAAACCCCATACCGTAAAGTCGGCTATAAAAGGCCCCGACATGAAAAATATGAAACAATTCATATGATAAAACTAACTGCCTAATTTATAACAAAACAATTTACAAAAAAAAAAAACAAATATGACCGAAATGAACCAGCATCAACCACTGAACTCCTGACTTGAAAAAAAGTACCTAGTCAAAAATAGCTACGACCCCGCATTGTTTGTGCTTATACAGCAACAGTTAATATGGACGACTGCATATATAATCTATAGTTTTAATTGTTTTATAAAACAAGGAGATGTGGTATGCTTTCCAACTATCAACAACTGAACAAGGATACTAGTTATAACCATGATGGCCAACATTAGACGTCGACAAAACTGGTTTAACACCGCCACATTTATATGCACCTCTGTCCCAATTCGGACAAAGTCATGTCATAGATATGTCTTTGTGTAGTTTATATTTAGTTTACTTAACGATATTCTGACATTGTGCTGTACAGCTAGATGGTATCCTTTTTTATTTTTTTTGTCGGAGCAATTCAGAGCTTCTTGTATGGTGTGGACTGCTAAACATTGAAGAACTTTAATGGTGACCTCTGTATGTTGGTTTAGTATTTGTTGCTTATGTGACTGAATTTGACTGTCGTCATTACTGATCCTTTTCCGTTTTTCACACAAATCAACAATGAAAAAATCATAGCGCATGGAAAGCTATTAAAGTCTACTTGATAACAAGTGAAACTAATCGTAAGAAAATAAACCCGTCCTGATCTACGTCAAAAAAATTGAATAACACCATTTATGACAGACAACAAACAACGAAAATAAAACAATAAAAGTCCTGGCTTGAAACAGGCACATAAAGAATGTGGCCATATAGTTCATCAAAAGAATCTCCAATGCCTTAACGGGTTGAAATGAAAGAAAGATTACAGCAATGGAGTTTTAAAAGAAAATAATTGTATTTATCTAAAACCATCTTATGATATTTGTGATAGCATAACCGATAACTTTATAATTAAGTCTTGAATATGACTTCAACTTTCAGTATTTAAAAATGACTGAAATTTTCAGTACTGTAAAATGACTGTAATTTTCAGTACTGAAAAATGACTGAAATTTTCTGTACTGAAAAATGACTGAACTTTTCAGTACTGAAAAATGACTGAAATTTTCAGTACTGAAAATTGACTGACGGTACTGAAAACAACCTTTTCTTAATATTACTGAAAACATGCATATAATCAAATGTACTGAAAAGATATGGGTAAGAACTGTTCTGATTGATTATATTTTTTGTGAGTACTGTATATGTAGTGGCATTAAAAGTACATGTAAACGCTATGTCAATTCCTGGTAGTGTACGATCTCTTGGAACAAGCGAAAAAGAAACAAATAAGATCTTGAACCCCATTAAACATATTGATTGATTGATTGATTGATTGATTGATTGATCGATTGATTGATTGATTGAAAGTTTGCATGGCACTCTCTATATGCGAGGCATCAGGCTTAACGTTCATATTCTGACTGAACGTGGCTGCGTACTTATACATCCCGGACAGCCAAACGGACTGCCTGGATTTCCTAATGAATAAAAATCCTTGCATCTTCTTTTTATAATTTTTTTCTTTTTTCTATGGGAACTTGGACTTCATGTTATTTCTTTATTTGTTGCGTGTGCATTTTGATTGAACTTGTAGGAAAACTGAGTAACATTTTGTCTTGGAAGTTTCACTTTCTATATTGGGATATGGAATATATCAAAAATGCCTACATAGGAACTCGCTTAGATCTTTTATATATCTTTTTCTTATTCATGTGACGATATCGAAAACCAGTATAATAGACTTGTATACATAACTCCAGTACAAATGTTTATGTGCCTGTCAGCAATAGCGTCGGTGGTAATCTTATGTTATATTGTATGTTTTTGTCACTAAGGTTTTTTTTTATTGATGGCATACTTTTTATCTAATAGTTATTTAGAACGTTTAAGACTCGCGGCTATTAAAAGCTTGGTGTAATGTTGAGGCACAATCAATTGTAGAGGTCCATATGTGCACCTGGAAATGTCTATTGGTTCATGTGCCGCTGAGTTGATATCTCATTACAAACTACTTATATCCGTCATCTGCATCAGGGGGTAGTTAACTAAGCCAAATTCATATAGCCCTTGTCCCTGTATTTCGTATACTGACAAAATCCTGTCCTGTACCTTGTGTGTATTTCTCTGGCAATATTTTTTTTTAAAGTTTTACCTGGTTCTTTCATAACATTGCAGTTTTTCAGTCCATCTTCCACTTGACAATCTATCCATCCCTTGTCAGCATTACAGATAGACCCATCTGATAACGTGCACACTCCTGAAAATTACCATATGTATTTATAAGATCTTGTTTAATGGTTGGGTGTATGATATGTGCTCAATGATACCAATAAAATCAGTATAAAACACAAACAACATAAAGACAAAAAAACAAAAAACGAGAAGACAATCAGAAGTCAGCTGAACACTTTACAGAAAATCATCAAACATCACACGAACTCTGCTATCTAAAACCCGCTGTTAAATTAAGTTTCTTTATGGATTATTCCCGCAGCCGTTACTACTTCAAAGATGCACAAGTGTTACGGACGAACAAAAGGACACGCACACACGGAACGTAAATATATGATTTCTTACATGAACCAGAGAATATGTGACTATGTTTCAATTAATACTCTTTTCACAAATTCGCTGCAATGGTTTTTACTTTGAGGACAAGAAAAGAAGCAGACATTCATAAAGAAAAATCCAGCAAACAATTTATTTTCGACATTTATAAAAAAAAATATTTGGAAATGAAGCTTAATAAATACAAATTTCCATTAAAACCGAGAATGTCACAAGACCTATTGATCGAAACATGTCTCACTCCACTTTTCAATCTTACCTGGGTGTGTTATATCTGTTAAACGTGATGGTAAATTCCCTTGTTTCCAGACACAATCAGGATCTCCAAGTTCTTCGCCATTTGTTCTTCCGTCTCCATCAGAATCTTTTCTACATAATTCAGGTGTCCATGACTAAATGCAAATTAATTTCGATGAGATTCTATGCATAGTAATCCGCCAGAGCCAACAATTTTCTACATGTTTAATATTGACCAGTTTTAAATTCGTATGGGTAAATGTGTCTTGCCGCTAGTCGACGTCTTTGAAGATGAAATTAAATATTTGATATTTGAATTCATTATCTTTTTTTATTGTGCACGTATTATAAGTTATACGCTTAAAACTCTAGACTTCTTCTATTATGAACAAACAGACGAAGATAGAATGAGACGGATTTATAAAAGTTTTCCAAACTTGTTTCTGAATCCCATATTTGAATTTCATGTAACATTGTACTACTTCATTGTTATGATTTTTCATTAATAAATACTTTTTAAACTGAGATAGAATGAGAAACAATCAAAATCGAAACACAAAATATTTATAGATTGTTGTTTGCTTAATTTTCAATGAGTGGTATTTCTTACCTATTTAGGACGATAATAGAAATAAAATTAGAGGCTGTATGATTGTCAGTAAGACAACTTTATATGAAGATCAAAGTACTTAGATATGGCAAAGCAAGGTAGACCCACCTCGGGCTGAACAGTATGTTTCGACAGCCAGTGGAAAAAAGTTGGTAGGGCAAAAATCAATAAGCCCCAATATGACCCATAAAGGTTTCTTGAACATGCGGAGTTTGTGAAACTCTTACTACACACGGCCCAAGGATTAACGGCCCGGTTTAACGCACGTGTCGTCGTAAAAGGAACGGATGCACCACTTTATATAGATATAAGAAGATGGGGTATGAGTGCCAATGAGACAACTCTCCATCCAAGTCAAAATTTATAAAAGTAAACCATTATAGGTCACAGTACGGTCTTCAACACGGAGCCTTGGCTCACACCGAACAGTAAGCTATAAAGGGCCCCAAAAAATTACTAGTGTAAAACCATTCAAACGGGAAAACCAACGGTCTAATCTATATAAAAAACGAGAAACGAGAAACACTTATGAACCACATCAACAAACGACAACTACTGAACATCAGATTCCTGACTTAGGACAGGTGCAAACAAATGCAGCGGGTTTAAACGTTTTAATGGTACCAAACCTTCACCCTTTTTCTGAAGCAATAGTGTAACATCACAACATAGAAAGACACACTATAAAATATCAACTGAAATAGCTTAACTCAATCAAAGGACATATTAACACCTTTGAACATACACTGAACAAATAAATTTGACCTATGACACAATGTAAATACAAAATAAATAAACTAAGGGAAGAATAATAAAAGTAACATGTTATATCGGTAAGAAATGTTAAACAATTAAAGAAAAACAATATGCTCGAACAAAAATATCAGCCATTTGCAATAACTTTAAACACAGGTAAATGAAAATAATTTTGTTCTTAGCATGCATTTGTCTAAATATATGCCTACTTTGATTATCCCAGTCACCCCAAGTGGTAGAAACAGAAGGAAAAAAGTTATAATTGTATGCCTGGTATCATTGTATAATCGAGTATGACCATTGATAAATAAAAATGAAAAAGAGAATCAGTTATTTGATATCCAACGTAAGATATTTTGGCTTAGCGATATACTACAACTACTCCATCAAATGTGTTTTACAAGTTTGACCAAAAAGGTTGAATAGTGCTTTAAATGTGAATGCTTAAATGTTCCGTCCTTGGGTTTTTCTTAATTCTCTGTCTCAGTGAAGCTTTTCTTTACTGGTACATATGTTTTAATTGGAGTGTTCTTTCAAATTTTCACCATACTAAACCAACAGTTGAAAACAGCGGAAAACATCAATTACCAAGGAAATTCAGACGATTAATACAGGGTTTTGTTTTGGTACACCTAGTGTAAACTGAGAAAAATAAAATGCCTCGTGTCGGGAGAGTGCAACGCAGTCTGCACGTTCAAGAACCCATGCAACTACTCTACCATCGGAGATATATAGCCTGTTGCAAGACAAAATTTCTATCCGTATCCCAAATACCTCTTTTCCAAAGATAGTCTAAATTTCCTGTTCTTTCTCATGTTTATCCTGGTCAGGCTTTAGAAAACGCACCTAATGATTTAATATATCATATACAGTCATAAAGATAAACACGACACGTCAAACAAACAACAATCAATCAATTTATCTTATTCCTGTTCTATAAAAGTTATGCTTTCAACATACCAATCCCGCTGCTTTAAAATCCAAACCAAACTGGTTTCTACTTCCACCTCCAAGTGGTTTGTTGTGGCCTACACCATGCCACACGTAGTTAGCTTTACATGGATGTGGTACTTCGTTTCCATTCGGAAGGATATCTTTAAAGTTAGGGTAGGCTGTTACACTGCCGACACAGACAAGAGTTTTGAGTAATGTCCCAATCCTGCTAAACAAATAAATAAGTAAAAACAGAAATAAGGAAATAGTATTTTAAATAAAAGACAGCATGTAATAAAAATATCAATATCTGTTAAAAAAAGGACAGCACCCACTCTCTTCAACTTTCGCCATTATGGTCTTCCGAGTGATTTTGTTAAGCTCCTCATTCTAACGTGAATAATACTAATTAAATAGTTTCGTTTAATTTTATAAGTTCAGTGAAAGAAGTATATATAGTAATAAATACAAACTATTATAAACAATAAGGAAACGTTATAGTGTTACAAAGTAACAACTATGTTTCACATATATACCCTTTAAAGGCGTATTTGTTAGTGCTAATAAAGTTTAATACACTTTCAATTTGTTGGTGAAAACCAGTTTGAAACTAGTTTGGAACCTAAACTGGTTTACCGTTTTACCGTTTGTTAATCACAAACCTAGACTGGTTCCGTAAACCATTCAAACCGCGTCTGTAGGCGGTTTGGGGTTTAGGTTTAAGTTTTAAAATGGCAACAATTTTAATGCAATGTGGCAGATGTGACAAACTTTATGCAAATTCAGATGCTTTCAATGACCATGACAGTTATTTTAATGAATTATTCTACACAATTAATTGTTGTTAATTCTAAACACTATTTGTTTTATTCATTCTTCTGTTATTTTTACTAGTCTGACAGAAGTCTTTATGTATTTGCAATTTAAAAACACTTTAGATTCTTTACCAATTTGGAAAATACTGAGATATGGAATAAATGTCCATGAGATAACTTGATCCAATTAAACAGCAAAATGTCAAACCTTACTTGAAGCTGTGAAATAAATTGAAATGGCCTACAAGTACAAGAGCAACATCTACAATTTTTAAAGTTTGTGATTAGGTCAGTTTAATGGGAACCATTATACATATGTTTACTAGTTCAGTGGTATTTGGTATATATGCAGTTGCATTAAGATAAGAACAACTCATTTCCAAAGAAATAGTTTGGCCCCTATTTACAATCGGGCTATATATATGAAAACTGAAACTCATCGTTTTTGATTAGGTAAGTGGATGGGGAACCACTATTTATAAGTCATTGATATTGGTATGCAGTTGGCATATCTCATTTCAAAGGAGATAACTATAATGTGACTCTGTGCGTCTGTCAGCATCTTATTCATAATTTGACATTTTATAATTCATAGACTTTGGTTAAATTTTATGGCTAAATTATAGGCAAAAATCGTGACAACTCATACAGCATATATGACAAACTTTGTAATCATAGATTGCTCTATATTAAATTCTATGGAATGTTTTTTGTCATTTATTTTCACATGGAAAGATTGTCTACAATTGTATGTCTCTTCGACTCTGCAGTGTCAGAAGGATTATGTACCTCAAAAAGGTTATTTATTTCTTCCATATCCCTGGCACCTTCTCATTCATGTCATCATTTTGCAAGAGGCATAGCTCATGTAGCACGCAACCGGTCAAATTGACTTTAACCGCTTTATTCAGGTCTAGCATATCAATAAATGTGAGAAGGTGGAATCTTCTTATTAGGGCTCCAAATGAATGTTCAATCACCATCCTAGTGCTGCTGTCGATAACGTTTTTGATTTCTGTTGAGGTTACCATAATTAAAAGTGTCATCAACCATGTAGTAAGGTAATAAGCAGAATCACCCAGTAGATGTGTACTACTTGGGAACATCTCATCAGTGTTGTTTTCAATTATTCCATAAATTGGTGAGTTTTTTAATACACGAGAGTTGTGAACCAACATCTAAGAAATGTATATCACTATCACAAATCCCCTGTAGATCATGTAGATTTATTGAATGGAAAGATTTACTGTTTATGTAGTTCTTGCGAAACTCTCTAGGTGTGTGAATAGGAATGTGTGTCCTGTCAATTGCACCTTCCTTTTCTCTTTAAACTTCTGTACAATTCTAGGAAACTGGTTTCTACTATATATATATATAGGCCATGTTATGTATTTTGATGGAAGTTTTTCACATATCACAACAGCAGGATCTCTAACAATCTGAAGTACTGAGTACTTACAAACTCCGTAAATGTCCGCAATTGCTTGTAGAGTCATCTGGCTTGAGACATACTTAATGTAAATAAGAACCTGTTTCTCTATTGTTATGGATCTAGAGAGAGTCCTTAATAAAGCCTCTTAACTCCCCTACCAGTCTATGGAAAGTGGTCGGATTTAATCCGAAAACATCTTCTAAACTCTTCTTTGCTGTAAGGGAGCTGCCATTTGATTTTTATGAAAGGGGGGGGGGGGAGAGGCTAGGATGAACAATTTTGTCCTGCCTTTTTATTTTTCGCTCTATTCGGTCCTACCTTTTTATTTTTCACTTTATTCGGTCCTGCCTATTTTTTCCATATTTCATCCTAGCCCTCCCCATAGCCACCCCCCCATAAAAATCAAATGGCTGCTCCTTAAGTTGAAACCCCACAATCAGCATAATTGAGTACCTGTGGAATATGAGCTCTGTTCTTCATAAGTAGAATGCACGATATAATTATGTTGTAGCTGTTTAAGATTGTGTCATTCGTAAGGTCAAACAGCAGAGCAGAAACAAGTTATAATATCTGACGCCATTTTTTAGAATAAACTTTACATTTGTTGAAAAATATCTAAAGCTAAACCAGTTTTGAAACCTAACCCTAAACCAAACAAAAACAGTTTAAAACCAAAACCGAAAACTCAAACCAGTTTTGCTGTAACAAATACGCCTTGAGTATCAGTGTATACAAAGTGCGAATCCTGAAATACCATTTTTACTGTATCTAACGTGTATTTCTGATGTAGAATGATAAATAAACAGACCAAAAATTCAAAATTTAAAAAAAAATCTGAAATAATATATCAAATATATTGTTTTCAGATATATTTATATCTTGCCTACAGCTATCCAGGTGTAAAATCGATAAACATATAAGTAAATATTGAGTATATTTCACGAAGAAAGCAGCAGGTTTTGTCATTCAGTTTATGATATTGAGCTAAATTATACTTTGCTTCTTACGCTATGCGATTCATGTTTACTGTCGAATATTGGTACAATACTATCATTTTCACTGTAGGAGCAATTCAGTTCTGTTGTATATGCGATGCATTTTCACAGTAGGAATCTTATTCATTTTCATAAAATAGTGTCTTATTTCAGCCGATTTGCTTACTTTGTGCGTGAAAGTCTAGCGAATTATAAAAATCAATTCCGTAAAAATAGCATTCATTGCTTAAAATATTCAATTCTATTTTCTAATTGTTCGTGTCCGGATATATGCGTAGGGTAAAATGTATCCACTCCATCTCATAATTGAATACCTATATATATACACCTTGGACCATGAAGCACATTTAGGGCCACAGAAATCTCTGCTTTCGGTTTCGGTCTATATCTAGGGTACTATACATCACATATTAATAAAACTTCATAAATGGATGCATCCATCTGGGATAATAAAGAGCGTTAGCACAATAACCTACATTTAACACTTGAGTGACTGGTTCTGTTATCGGTTTTGGGTTTATATATAAGGTGCTATGCATCACGTATTGATGCATTAATGCGTATATCTTATAAATAAAAGCTCGCCCACACAACTTGACTTACACTTCACGCTTGAATGATTTTGGATATTGATATGTCACATGAATCTCTAATAGTATATACATCTTACAAAGTAAAGAAAATGCAAGCAAGAAATGAGTCACCTTAATTTATGGTTGAATGTCTTGTATATTGTTGTTACATGTACGGAAATATGTAACTAAGAAATTACAATGACATATTGAGAACAGCTTTCAATGGTTATATCATAGGTATAACTGCCGTACAGTTGATTCCGGACGTTGCTGCGTGTCGTGGGTACCATGACACAGTAATAGCAAACTCACCAAAAATGTTTGAATATGCTTGATATGAACATGTATCACCTCAAGACGGTGTGTCGTATATCTTTTTTTTTTTTAATAATTATTCAGTTTATTGCACAATTGGTTGTTAACAAATACCCTAAAAGGTACAACTATCCCAAATAGGTTTATCCCTGTGTGTGAATTATCAAATGAACCAGGGGATTCACAAGATAAACTTATTATAAGTTTCAAAAGTGGTTAATAGAATATTACAATCGATATAGTTTACAAAATCTGCATAGCCACAAATCCGGAAAACATACGTTCTCTCTGTTTACGTTTTTCTACTTATTTTAATTGTATATCACATGGTATAGATGTTTATTATGTATCTCGAACACGTGTATTTTATTCATTCTTGTGTGTTGGAATATTCTTAACTTATTTGGTAAGTTTTAAATTTAATGAAATAACTGTTTTGTTTTTTAACGATAACTTTTACACGCTACAGAATACTGAAAACTTGAAACATTATGAGTATATATCAATCATTGATGACATTCTGATGGTAAGTTAACATGATCAAAAACATGGATAAAGAATGAGTTTTTGTTGATACTTTGTATAAAGTATTGTCAATCGTTTCGTGTAAACAGAGAAACAGTATACATAAAACATAAATGAGAAACATAGTGTTGCTCTACGAGTATAATGTCTTAACTTTCACATAAACAGAGACACACACATATACCATTACCTACACAAAAACATGGTCACAACTTGCACACTCACACTCCCTGTCACACAACTACTCAACCATGAGTACTTGCACACCTCTCCTATTGAATTACATTGCGGTTAATTAGATATATTTAAATGTATCTTTCAAAAATTTACTACATTTTCTTTCTAAGAGTATACTATTTTCATACCATTCTAAGAATTCTAATTTAAAAACACTATATACATCTATGTACTTGTGTTTTAACTCTGATGCATAATTACTTTTGTAAACAGCAAATAGAACAATTGTTAACAACACATTAATATCAAAATATGAACTGTCATGAATTTTGTATCCAAGTATTAAGTTTTGCATTGATAAAATATGTGTACCTATTTTTATTTTATCAAGT